TTTGTTATATTTATCATTTTTTTACTTTTTACTTTTGATTCACTATTTACTAATTAAGTTGAAATCAATATATAACTTTCACATTTTTGTTATATTTACCATTTTTTTTAGTTTTTACTTTTGATTCACTGTTTACTAATTAAGTTGCCTTAGTGTAAACACTTGTTTTCAATTACTCAATTAAGCCTAATATAAATTGCGCTAAGTGTAAATATATTATTAAGTTAATTTTAAAGTAGTGTTTAGTGAAATAGATTCTTTAGAAAATAATAATTAGATTTTAACTTGAATTTTAACTTGATTTTTTACTTGAATTCTAATCAAGTAGAATTTTCATTTAAGATGAATAATTATTAAAAAAATCAGTGTGATTTATTGTTTTAATGCCCAATATTTTATTCATATATTTTTTAACGCGTTAATTTTTAAATAAATTTATAATATTTAAAAAATATATATATTACTGTCACTAACATTTTCACTACAGTATATAGTCATCTTCATGACTATAGAGTTCTATAGATGACTATAGACTATAGAAGAACATTGGTGCCAATAATATAAATATTTTAAAAAAAATTTAAACAGTTGTGTATTATATATAGCATTGACCCATTAGCCTGTGTAAAAATGTGTAGTAATTGTAAATGTAACTACAATTAACAGACACTAATGACATATAAATATGTATATGGTTTATAAATTATTATCAGTTAAAAACTGTTTTATAAAATTTAGCACTCTATAGGTAATTAGTCAATTAATAATTAATTGATTAAATATTATAATAATAAAACAATAGAGTTGATTTTAAATACCGCGTATGTTATTACAAAATTTGTTAAATAAGTTTAAGGAAATTTATAATATAAACGATGCACTAGTTTCCATTAGTAGCAGGATTGATGGTTCTTGTTTGAAATATATTCATAAAGACATTCAGTTTCAAAGCAGAAGATTCTTGAAACTGTCTCAAAAAATTAAACTCTTTGGACAATAAAGATTTTTCACTTTCTTCAGCGAAAGCATTTATTATTTCTAGATGTGAAAGGAGCGGTTGTTCTTTTACCATAAGTAACAAGTCAGCCTAAGTGTTACTGTATATTGAATACGACAACTGCGCATGAGCTGATAAGTTGTAGAGAGACTTTCTATTATTAACTTCTATATTTTCCAGCCATCAATAGAATTTCCACTAAAAATATATTTTGACGAATCAATAGTTTTAAAGTCATATCACAACAATTAGACTAGGCAGGTGTCTTTCTAAAGTACCTAGTCTCAAAAAAAACGTTTTTACATTTGGAAACCAATATATTAAAGGATCGTGACTTTTCATGCGACGCTTTAAATATAAATATAATCGTGTATCATCTTTCAGGGCACTATTTAGTACTTATTGCTATCCACTGGTTTGAAATATTTACTATACTATAGTACTATATTATAACCACTAGTTTAAAATATTTATAAAATACAGAATACGTATTTGATTTTCTTACTGTGTTTCTCTCTAATCCTAACCTTTCTCTCTAATGTATCTATTCCAAAAATATGATATTTAAAATCGTCGCAGTTAGAAATAAAAAATTACACATTATATATAGTTATATTAAAGATTATAACCAAAGTTTTCAATTATATTTTACGCATTTGATTTTATATTCAAATATATGACAATAATATTTAATAATAGTCAACAACAATTACCAAAATAAGTGTTGAAGAATAATAAAATAAATATTAATCCATTCGACATCCAGAAATTAAAGTTAAAATTTTTACAGTTTATATTTTATTCGACATATGAACGTGACTTCCCATTATTTACTTTGAAAAAAATATTAAAATCAATAGAGTTTTAATATTATTTTATAATTGCTTATTTCCATTTAAAGATACTTATATGTATATACTAATATGTATATATAAAGAAGCAGTTATGTGAGTTCCAAATAAACATGAATTCATTTTAGTAATTTAATAATAATTTTTATTTACCGCAAATAAATTGTTTAATGGGTTTTTGACTAATTTTCATTGCGGTTAACAAAATGTTTCTACTTAATAATTCCGTAATAATTTTTATCTAAATGTGACATTATCGAATTCGTTAGAAGATAGTTTTGTGGAAAATCTTAAATAGCAATGAACATTTTTCGAGGAAAAAGCATTACAAGGTGAAGCCGTGACCATAACACATTATAACAATTTTCTCAAAAAAAATAAATAAATATATTTCTTCATTCATATTTGCAATAATTTTATTTTGTTGAAAATTTCGATTTTTGTGCCAAAAAATCTGTCTTTAAAAATTCCAAATATTTTTATATAAAATTTTTCAAATTTAAAATTAGTATAATATTTTATAAAAGGCAAAATTCACGAAACTCTTGATGGGGAGAATATAAACAACTTCAAAAATAAGCATAATTAATTTAATTTCATACTGAGTAATAGATTTTTAAATTTGTTACTTTTTTGTTAAAATATTACAAATATTTTACAAAAAAAATTTTTTTTTTTATTGTGAAGAAATGAAATTGTATGTAAACTTAAAAGGCCCACTCACTGTGAGAAAATAAACAAATCAAAGTTATTAAATTCCATAATATTTTAGGAAGAGTGATATGTAGAAATATTTTTTTATTTTTATTGCGTATCGAATATTGTGTATTAAATATGAAATAATAAAAGTTGTTATAGCAACACGTAGAATAAACAACAAAAGATATTTTTAGATAATTTTTACCAAATTCTTTAAAAGCCAATATTCTTAACACACAAACATCTGAAAGTAATGTCAGTGTCACATCGTGGGTGGATGTTCTATTTTAAAATACAAAAAATATATATATATTCTTACAGCTTAATGTATATGTGAATTGTACCCGTATTATTGAAAGTGAATAGATATGCATAACTTAAACACCTATTGTCCCACTAGAATATTTGTATTTCAAAATACTCGCATTTTTCATTGTTCTTTGTTTTTTTTTTTATTAAATGATAATCTTTTTATGATAAGTAAAATATAGTTTGTATATTTGCATAGTGAGTCAACCGACTAGTAGCATTTATTTTTTATTTGAATAACTCTTATTCATCGAAAAAATATTTTATAAGTACTACGAAAGAAGAATTACACTTCATAAAATGAATTTATAACAAAGAATAACCAAAATAATATATACATGAATATATGGTATACACTTTTTAGTATTAAAACAACTGTTTGCGAGGATTTAACTATAAAAAAAATATATATATATATAATATATAAAAAGTTGATGAAATATCTGGTAAGTCAGATATAGAAAATGTAATGAGGTTTATTTGAGTTTAAATAGTAATTTAGAAATTAGCATAAATGTCTACTCATAAAGAATTTGGTGGGGTTTTTTTAGATTTGAATAGTAATATAGTAATGACAGAGATGTCCATGGTATATTAGAACAACAGACATGCACAGAGATCTAAGGATCAATTCAGTGAAAAAATATATCAGGGACAGAGCCCTGAAATTATTCACAAAAGTTGATACGCTGCTCAACCCCGCCCTAACAAACCTCAAGTCCACCTCAGAATCTGCAGAAAGATATGCTAAAATAAACGATATGAATTTCAGTATAGTTAAAGCTTAGTGTGGGGCAGGGAAAAGCCCCCCAGTCACAAAAGAGTCAACGTGCGCAATAGCACTAACTCAAAATACTTTAAAGTCGGTTTGATTTTTTAAGTAATTTTAGCTTTTATTTCGATCGTTAGTTTTTTGTATATATCTTTTGCAAATTCGCTTTTCCCTACATCAGGAGAATTCTTAATATTAATATAATTCCTTAAAAAACAAAACCGACTTTAACTTAATTAAGTTTATTTGTTTTTGAATATTAGTATGGTAATAACCGATATGTTCTAAATACGATGAACTAAAACCTCTACTGTGTAAGGGATTAATAGAGATAAAATTTTTTCTTGAATATTGTAATATCTAAGTAACACTTTCATAAAACTTACCTTTATAGCGACCTGAATGAGCCGTGTAATCAGTGATATAGATAGTTAGTGCATTGGAATGGACTAAAATTCTACTCAGAGAGATTGTTTTTTTTTTTTGAAAATGTAATAACTAAATAACAGTTTTTTGATACCGGCCTAAAAGAGGGCTGTAATTAATTATGCAGATAGTCATAGCATATGTGTGTAGTGAGAAATACACCTTATGACATCATCTCAAAATAATGATATCAAAATAAATATCTGCGAATTCTACAAAGCAGACAATACACTTATATTATGGTCTAGTTGGATCACATGAGCGAAATACAGATCACAACTAAGTACAATATTTTTCTAGATTAGATTAGATGGATTGGGAACTTGTCCCCACGTCACTGCATCCGTTGAGGATAATTGTGACATACCCACTTCAGTTCCATAGTTAAGAACGCCAATATGTCCTTTAGAGAGATGTTGCCTAACTCCGCTATACTTGGATAGGCAGTGGCTAAGTATCGAAGTCTGTGTCTGGCAAGACTACCACAGTGACACAGAATGTGTTCTGCTGTTTCCTCTTCTTCGCAACAAAGTCTGCAGCTATCGTTTCTAGTAATACCTAGGTTCGATAGATGCTTTTTAACTGCGCAGTGTTCAGTAAGAAACCCTGTGACAAGTCGGATGCCACTTCTGTTCAGCATAAGTAGCTCCCTAGTTCTGGGTTTTGATCGATACGGCATGGATTCTTTGACTTGTCTGCAGGCAATTGTATTATCCCAATCAGTCTGAGCTGCTCTTTCTAGCCACTCATAATTAATTTTTAAAAAGCTCCGTGAAGGACCGCAGAATGGTTGTGACCCAATATAATATGACGCCGCCACTTTTCTCAATATTTGTCTAACTAGCATATGGTGCCAACATACAGTCTTTACAAATTTAAATTTGACATATATTCTTCATTTACCTTTTTAAAATATTTTTTAATAAGACATTTAATTTTTTTATAGGACCTGCATTGAACGCACGGAAATCAGCAGTGGATCCAATAGGTGATAAGAAAAGTAAGTCAATTTCTTAATAAATATTTTTTAGACATAAGAAACATTATATTAGTGGCCATTATGGGTTTTTTTTTTAAACTTCCACTATGTATACTATATATTTTATTTTATTATGATCTAAATATTGTTATATGTGTGGAAACCTTGTAAAGTTCTTAATTTTTCTACTCAAATAAAGAATGTGATTATCTTTGTATCAAAGACAAGACCTAAACACACAAAATATCTTACAATATTTTGAAGTTTGGATAATGTTATTTCACAAAGAAAAAAGTTTAGAAAATAGACTAGGACGATTCATGAAAATTAGGTTAATATACAATATTGTGATATTAATAGAAGTAAGCATCGTGAGTGGCGAATAGCATATGTAATAGATCTAAGTTTAGAAACTTTTTAAATTGTTTGTAAGAAAAGACTCATACTATATAGAACTATAATTAAAGCACATACTATGAATAAAAAGGGTTCATTTGTTATAATTAAGTAATAAAATGATGTTGTCAAAGTGCATTTTTTGTGAACTCGTTTAACAGAAAATGGTTTCACCACTTGGATTATAACTCTATAGAATCTTCGGAACAGCAAACCGCTAAAAAAGCACTTCGCCTTTAATAATATGACATATGACATACTCATGACCATGCAGAAACAGAGTCACTAGCTATTTATAATACTTGCTTTAATTTGAACTAATCCAAAATTATTACTGATTAAAAAACAAATATTGTTTTATAAAATTAATTATTGTCAGTCTATTAAAATAAATGGATTGAAAAATAAAAAAAATGAAAATATATTAAAAAAAATAGTCCCAGTTTTAGTACAAGGATCACATGTTTAGCTCATGGTTTTTTTAAAAAAATTTATCAATCTTTATATATATTCAATCTTAAGATCAATCTGGTCGAAAATGTACCCGTCACCTCCTTCAACTTACGGGCAACCTGCTCAGCATAACGGTGTCGTTGCTGACGGGTCACTGTCCACTACAAAGACATACTATAAGGCTGGGTCTACCCTATAATGCCTTTTGCCAGGATTATGTCTCTGCAGATGAGGACAAAACTGCACTCTACCTTATGTATCAGTGTTCATCATTAGCTAGGAGAAGATTTAAAATCTTTGCAACTCCTTTTCTTATCTACCTGATAAAGCTGTCAACATGCAAAATTAAGTTTTTGGCCTAGTCTGAATGAGGAAGTCGTACTTTTACTGTTCTTTACTGTTGTTCATTGTTGTGTACGTTAACAACTGCGGTCCTTTTGGGAGTCCTTACGATCTGCGTGTGAACAATGCTAATAAATGGCATCACAACGGGCCATTTTTTAAACTCAAGAGAGATTTGCGCACAAGGCCGTCATTCCAACCTAACCTAACCTAACCTATATATTTATTAAAGAATTATTTCACCATCAACATAATTTTTTTTCAATTTAATTGATAACGTATCTAATTTTATAGTTAATAATTAGGAATTTTTTAACGACGTGTGGAACGTGTAATTTAGTTTTAATAACTTAACGAAACTAACCTACCGCTTTTCGATAAAACTAAAATTTGTCATATTAAATATTACTAATGCAAAATTAAGCTTATCAAAATATTGATAGTAAATAGTTAATTACATATTTACAAAATTTTGTTTATATTTGAATAATTATTATATAAAATATTAAAGGTCTTTGAACCCTAATATTGTTGTTATATTATGTATTAAGATGTATATAACTTAGTTAAATTTATAGTATCGTACTTTAATTCGTGGATACGTATATTTAGTATGTAATATTCAACAATTTATTGCTCTAATTATAAAAAAATATGTATGTGCATATATGTAACATGTTTTAGTATGTAGACATACATTTACATTTATACATACGTACAACAAATTCATAATAATAATAAAAAATAAAAAAATAAAAAACAATTTATGAGTATTACCAGCAAAACTCAGAAACTTGCCAAGAAACACACGCAGCTGTTATGAAAAAAAGTACACAAAATTGAAAATGCACAAAATAATAAAAAACCAAATAACGATACAAAAAAAAAGAGAACGATCGGTAACACCAAAACCAAATACAACAATGATCAACAATCAAAGACCTGGGAGCTCACAACAAACATAACTTGTTGGCGTCGTAAGTCTGCAAACGCAATTTTTTCTTTATATTCTTTTAACTTATTTAATAGATGCTTATTCAAAAACAACTTGAGAATATCAATAAAAAAAATAAAAAGGAATATAATAAATAAAACTAACAGACTGAAGTCGCCACAATGGCGATTCCCAATCACAAAAGCAACAACAATATTTTATAAATAAAACAACAGCAACAACATCTTGAAGAGCCGTACCTCGTTGCTGCCGCTATCTCAACAAGTCGACCGACGTGTCCACACACACACATACACATGCACATACATATTTACATATAGACCAACATACATAAGTTTGTATTAAAATAAAACCATGAAATTTTGATGATGATCAGCAATTAAACGGCAAAAATTTTCGTAGTCATACAAGGTGCTCCAAAAACACGTGTCTGTGTATGGTGCAAGCATTAACTTTACTCACTTTATAAATAATAATACCATGTACATATATGTGTAGTTACTTTTTAAGAATTTAACAATTAAATTTGAAGTAATTAAAGTTTCATATAGTATGCTTGAGATTTTTAAATGTAAACTTATATATAATATAGTTCAAAGAACGCATTCCAAATAAAACTTATTGAATTTTATAAATATTATTAGATTTACCTAAAAATTAATTTTATATAGTCTTAACTGTCTTTATGCAGTCTTTATAAAAACTGTTTTTAAATGTAAATTTATATATAATATAGTTCGAAGAACGCTTTCCATATAAAACTTAATGGTTTTTATAAATATTATTTGATTTACCTAAAAATTAATTTTATATAGTATTAACTGTCTTTATGCAGTCTTTACAAAAACTGTTTTGTTGTTTAAAAATCTTTATGAAGTTAAGTTCATAACCACAAATGTTTAAGTTACAAGTACGTAAAATGTTAATAGTCGTAACGTAATGAATCATCAAATAAAGTGATTCATTCCATTAATATATTTTATAAGCACTTTTAGCATGTAAGAATATACGTTTTTGTTTTCATTTAACTGTTATTGCAAGTTTATTGCATAAAATTGTGTATCTAATTACTCATAATATTAAGTGAGTTCAGAGTTTTGTGTATGGCCCATACGAATTGCAAAGTTATTGTTTTGTATTTAATTCGATAGAGAGAACATACTAATCACTCGAAGTTGAAGTATTCACATACTTTAATTCCACATATCCCATTTAGATACAAAAAACACCTTTAGGTATTGTATATGGTTAGCTTATCCAGGCTCAATACTGAAAAATTGAAGAATTATATATGTAAGTAAAAACTGTAAGTAGATGTAGAAAATTCAAACTACTTGACTTTTTTGACTACTTGATTTAAAACTTATAGAATTCCTAGTGTGATTTCGCTATACTTAACAAGAGGTGATGATACCGAAAAACATCAAAATCTTTTTGACGAACCATAAAGTTAAGTTGCAGGAGATAGCTGACCAACATGTCAAAGATTTCAAACCAACATGTCAGCTGCATTTTACACTAATATTTGTCTACAAGAATATAGCGAACTAACTTTTCGAAGTGGGTACCTCCAAGTTTGTTAGTTGTTGACCAAAAATGACAATAGAATAAAAGAACCACAGTGGTCAGCATACGAAAAACGCTGAAACGTACAAGTCTCCCATTCATGTGAAAGTAAACCAAACTGACAAGTCTATAAACTAGTAAAAGTCTATAATTTTGTAGAATGACAGCTCTGTCAGGTCGGTAAAAAAAGGGGCTCAAAGATTTTAAATCTAAAGATTTTAAATCTAAAGATTTTAAATCCTAGTCAACTAACAACATGAGGTGGAGTACAATTTCTGTAACAGTGACACATCAGTACCGATACCATAGTGCTGAGAAAGTTACACCTTAGTTGAATCAAATCACCGCTACTTTTTTGTCTAGTTCAGGACATTGTGTAAAAATTTTAAGAATCTTGACAAATGTGGTTTGCTAAAAAATGAAATTAGTTAAGTTAAACACGTAGCTTTCAGTCATAAAAACTAATAAATGTGTTAATAATTTATTAAATATAGTATTTCAATTAATATTTTATAAGATAAACTTATTTACTCGAAGTATAACATATGACGAAAACTATACAATTCTAGAAATTTAGTTAGTAAATAAATATTTGTTAATAATATAATCTGTATTTAGGGTATTTAAAACTTCAGCAAAGCCAATATGTTTTCAATAAGTTTACCAACACTGTGCAAAATTTTATTTTATTATAGATTTTATGTTCACATGATATAGAAAATTGCAAAACCATAGCCAAACTGCAGTTATACAATTTATAAATATATTAAATGTATTAATACATATAAAAAGGTACAATAAACGTATAATATTAGTAAAAAAAATTCGTACAATTTATAGATACTATTTCAGTTTATTTACCCTTGTCCATGGCTACGTTTATTTCAATATCAATATGATAAAGTTTTTAAGAATGACTTGTTATTTTTTATCTACAGACCCAATAAACTAAAATTTCGTTAAAAATAAACAATGAAAGTTATATTTTTAATCTGTTATACTTTTATTAAACCTATAAAATAAAATTGAACCTAAAAATTAGAATATAGAAATAATTTGGAGAAGCATATCTCTGATTTCATAAAATTTCTCATTGTAATTAAAACAGTTGTATTTGTCATATATGCAGTAATAAAATATTTGTAATAACATATGTTATAACATATAAAAGTTACAACACCCTGTTTGTATGCATATGCAGATAGAAAACTCAGTCACATTAATAATGGAATTGATCACTCAACGACTTTTTTCATGTTTAAAACAAAAAAAAACATAAACAAAGATTACTGAAGCAGTTTTTATGCAA